CTTGATGCGATAATATTCAATTCATAGAAGAAAAGATGATGTAATTTAGGAGATGATTAAAATCAACGAAATCACTTATCTAAAATATTATAAACACCAATGAAGGTTAGAGTGTTTTTGTCATATTAAATGTGTTGGTGTAATACAAAGCAACACACTCTTGTACATTATGCTCTCATCATTATACCATAAACACTCTTGTACATTATGCTCTCATTATTATACCATATTGTTTTTCTCTTTTCCTCCTTGACTTCCGTTACAATCCAATCGTTAAGCCCCTGTATACGGAGTATTAATGCGTCATTTGTAGATAATAGCATAACAAAGAACAATTCATAAAAAGAATGAAAAGTAAAAAGGTTACTACACCAAAATAGTAAAATACCCCCACAAAAAAAAACAAATTACGACACTCGAGAGTAGTGTTCATCTGCCCCCAATCCCACCACACAACCATACGTACAACATTCGAGTAATACTATGGAGTAAAAGCTAGGGAAATAATACATATTACATAATACATACGTATATATCTAAGCTATTAAAAGGCTGCCACCCATACATGGAAATTAATTTATACGGAGTATTTCACTTTAAGAACCAAAAAACGTAGAATAGGATTGATTGCATGAACAGAAAAAAGATAAGGTTTTATTGTATAGAAGAAATACGGAGTATTAATTAACAATTTTCTATTATGTTAGTTGTGCCATTTTTTCGTATGCTTTAGGAACTAAATCAAATGGTCACATAGTAGCATATTTTGATTGAGCCAAATGAACACAAAAAATTTAATGAAACCCATGATTTCATAATGTATGCTTTATTTAGTAACTTTTAGTTACTTTATTTCATACTAAGTGTGAACCCAAAATCTCAACCTTTCATTTTTCAATTGATTTTTTATCTCATTGTTACTACTCCCTCCATATTTGAATGATCTCTGCACTAGCTTTAATTTGGGTACAAATTTTAGGATAAAATAGTAAAAGTAATGAATAGTATAAAAAAGTAGGAGAAATGGCGAAAAAGTAGGAAAGAGGAGATAAAAAGTAGAAAAAGCAAGGGTAATTGAGTATTTTTAAAGGAAAAACTTACCAAAAAGGGAAAGTGTATGGAATTTTTAAATACAGCCCAAAAGGGAAAGTGTAGGGAACTTTTATATACGGAAGAAATGTTATGTCATGTGTTTCTTTCTAGATATGCCACATATGATCACAATACTAACCTGTAAGGTTTGTACATACTTTATACGTAGTATATTCTTAATTAGGATCACTAACTAGCCGATAAATTTCTTAGATCAATATGTTTTCTCAAAATTTATTACAAAACATAGAAAGATAGTTTGAAATTAAAGTCTAAGAGCTCGAATGGTGGCCTTGTTTTTCGGTTTATCATGCTTATCAAACAGTTTTTTCACTAAACACGTGACTTTTGATTTCACGCGCTAAATTGTGTAATAATAAAAAAAAGTAAGGTTGGAGTTGCTTTTATGTCTGTATTGGCTGAAGTTATTGTACAGGATCATTTTTTCTATTTTTTGTGTAATTTTTTCTTTATTTAATTAATAAATTATATTGTAAATATAATTTTTTCATAAATCAACATAATCAGCCAAATTGGTTATAATCGGTAGGTCTGCAGCCGTTGAGGGTCTAAACGCCGTCTAAAGGGTAACGAAAGAGGTGCTAAGGGGAAGAAAGTGATGTGAAAGGGCAATGGTGAGAAGGAAATAAAAGAAATGGATATTAAAGAATAACTCAATTCTGAGGAAGTTGAAAGGGGAAGTAACAAAAGAGGAAATCACTCACACATACACTAAGAATGAATAACATACATGGTGTACAATAATTGTGTGCACCAAGAGACGCCAACACTTTTTCTATTACCGCTATACTCCTGACAATATTCACTCTTATAATATTGCAAAGACTTAAATGGTGATAATCACTTCACTAATTGTTGGGTATTGATTCAATAATACCTCAGTGATCTACGAGCTATCGGTTCAATAATACTCCAATGCTTTTTTCAGCTAAAAAACATAACAATATTAACAAACAGTCCATCTTTCTCAAACTCTAAATCAAATAGTATTAAGCTTTTTATGAGTCACTTAAATGACGGAATCACTTTACTAACTGTACTGTGGGAGTATTGGTTCAATAATACCGCAACGATCTAGGATGGGAAACACGGCTAGGATCTTGATAGACTACTGGAAGTCTGCCCTTGGGCCAATGGGGCCAGAAGGGTCTGAGGGCACAAAGGTTTTGGCATTGGTATTCTAATATAACTAATAAAATAAAGTTTCTTCCTCTGCTTGTGAGCTATCTATGTTGCATAGAAAAGTAAGAAACACAATGAACGTGAAACGTTAAAATGAGAAACACCATCTTTTGGTAGAATAATAACTTTTGAAAGAGTTTCCAAGAAGTATTGGTAGAGTTTCTGAAACGGAAATGTACTCCTCCAGATAAATTCCATGCTTCATAGGTTGTGAGCTAGAATAGAACAAGGAGATATTATAGAGCATTCAACAAATAAATCCCACGTATTATTGTCAATCTTTCAATTTTGTAACTATGTCTGAACGTGATTTTTTAAGAAGCAACAAGATATGACTATTTGTTATCGAAAATGGGAATAATTAACCGATCATGCTATAAAATCTTATATCTTATAAAATACAGGAACAAAGTATGCGATTGAGGTATTAACAACCATGACGGCAAGACATCACTTTATTTGATATAACTATTTTAACAAAAGCACCTCTTCAAGTTATGTAGGAAGAGATGTTTAGAAAATAGGTTCCCATCCGAATATGCTTTTACTATCCTTTTGGTGACTCTTAAATGTGTCATTGTAACACACTCAACACTCATACGATGTATTATAAAAGAATTAAGATTTATACGGCACTTAAAATTGGGCATTATACTCTCGCGCATCGCGCGATAAAATAACTAGTATACAAGAGAAGGGAAAAACGTGTCACTAGTTTGAACGCGGCTTCCCATTTTGACCAAATACCTCATAGGCGGTGAACACAACCTCGACATCATTTAATCAAGCAAATGCCTATATACTTTGTTGAGAAATACGAAAGCCAATATTTCAAAGCATTAAAGCATCTCCATCGCAACACAATGGAAAAAATCTATTTGATGTATGGAACAGGGGCGTAGCCAAGACAGGAATAAGGAATGGGCTGGATTACAACTAATAATTATTAAAGAATGCTAACAAAAATTATCACGGAGAAATTGACGTTGCACCGCATTTTGTGAGTGATATTTGACTTCACACCTAATTTTAAAAATTATTAATGTATGCAACTTATTTAACCTTTTTTTTTTTTTGCAAAAAGGAAATTCTAATAAAAAGCGCAAAGTACAAGGAAATTGGGGGGGGGGGGGGGGGGGCAGGAGAAAATGAAAATAAAATAAAATGAAAACAAACAATAGTAGCATTCAATCCAAAGTAAAGTCATTTAACAATCAAATCATTTGACTTTGTACTTCACTCCTTCACAATTTTTGACCTGATGAGGTGTAAATCCACTATTAATCAAAATATGATATTCAAAATCAAATCCCCCTATACTTTCAAAAAAAAATCAAATTCCCCTAATTATTAACATCTCAATATAATTCTTAAATAATAAAATAGCAATGAGATTTAATTGAAGTGATTTGCACAAAGTATTACTCCCTCCGTCCTACTAAGATTGTCCCATTTTACATTTTCGGAAAATCTCACTAAGATTGTCTCATACCAAATTTGGTAAAGTTTGTGTGCCTTGAAATCATTCTTACTTTATTTTTACTTTATCAATTTAATATCAACCACACAAACCCACTATTCTTAATAATCGTGCGACCTTCTCTTGTCTCAATCTCAGTGGGACAGAGGTAGTATTAAATTACAAAAAATCAAATGCATTACACTAATTAGTCAACTGAATTTGACAATATAAACTCATCGTTAAGAGATAAAAAAATTATTGTTAACAAAAACTCTTAGTGAACATAGTTAAACTATCATTAACAAATTCATAATAATTGCTCATAATAGAAAGGTTAAGACCGAAGCATAGTCAAGCGTGATAGAGTGCCGGCCCAAGGGGAAATCCTAGGCGGCAATCCCCAACCCTCTTCAAGATCCGATTTTGGAAGATGAAGACATTCTCTATGCAATGAAAGATCGAATCAAATGTTTTTCTATGCTTTCGCTCTCTTTCAATTTCTATTTTCAAGGAATTTGGTCCGGCTTCTTCATTGGCCGAGAATTTTGTCCGCTTCATGTGAGCGTGTGGTATGTTATTCTAATCGGTGTAATCGATCTGGTGAAGCTTTTTCAACCTTGTTGTTTTGATGTTTTAAATACTCGCCCACCACCTGAACCACCGCCTCACCGTGGGAAGATGATGATGATCAAGCGGATCTCCTTTTCGGTGGCTGGTCAAACCGATGCTTCAAGAAATTTCTACTCGACTGATTTCCCTTTGTTGGTTGATGGTCAAACCAATTCTCCCTTTCCGGTGACTGGTGAAGCCGAATCTTTTAGTTGTAATTTTTAATATCTCTTTGGAGTAGCAAGAAGATCAGCAAGGCTGTTAGACTAGACTACATTATTGCGGGGTTAGCGATCTGGAAGGATTCATTGAATCTGTTCCGTTCTATGTCTCATCCCATTGTAGCCTCAGGCTATTCATTCTCTTGTATTTTTGCTATCGCTTAATAATAAATTAGTTATTTGATTAAAAAAAACAAATTCATCATTCATCTTCAAATAAATTATTAAAAACTCAAATCCTAAGGAAACAATTTTAAAAAGACAATTTGTAAGTTAGAGCCAGAAAACAAACATCAAGTAAACTAAAAAATTAAAACTAAAATATTCTTCAAAATAGCCACATAGTGCACCAAAATATTAGCCATGTATACTTCTACTATTATTGGTTATTTTTTGAAGGATCTAGTGTTGTTGGTTACTTGGTTATACTCTATCATTTATACACTACTTATTTGTTAATGTATTTGTGAAACAAATTTTAAGTATTTACTTAAAATTGATCGCAAATAATAATATATGAAAATATTGGGTACAATCTCTAAATATGAATCCTCTGATTCTTCACTTGCAATTTGAAGTACTATAATTAAAGAATTTAATTTAAAATTAAATCTCTAATCCTTCAAATATTCGAACGTTGTTCGAATCTTCGTTCTTGAGATCTTCGAATCTTCGTTCTTCAGATCTTCAAATCTTCTTGAATAAAGAATTCAAATTGAAGGACCTCCGGTTTTCAAGTGGCTTGATCTTCAACAAAAGGGCCGTTTTATGGCTTAATCTTCTGTTTAAGGGCCTCCCGGGATATATGGCTTGATCTTCAATTGAATTTTGATTCAATCTTCATATGAATATCTTCAAATCTTCAAAGATTCGTTCTTCATATCTTCGAATCTTCAAAGCTTCGTTCTTCAGATCTTCGAATCTTTAAGCTTTGTTCTTCAGATCTTCGAACGTTCTTCAACTTTTGACTTTGTTTGATCGAGAATAGATGAAAATCACAAAGGATTAATCATATATTCTTGACAAAAAGTGGCTTGATATCTTCCGATGTTTCGGAATCCTTCAGAGCCTTTCGGGAGTTCTTCATAGCTTTTCTGCAGCGTTTCTTCGACTGGAAGTTCTCTTCCCATTCCTCTCAACTGAGACCCCTATTTATAGGTGTGGATGGGGATAATATATGCTTTAGGGTTCCAAAATTCGTACATACCTCATGAGCCTCAATAAAAATGGGCTTCGGGCTCTATTTGCTTGCATTTTAATAATCAACATTTGTCCGGTGTATTTGGACAGCTTTTTTAACAAGGTTCATAGCTATTTTCCATGCATATGGAAGGATTTCTTAGCCAGATTCATTGACCTCTTTATCAATTGGATCATGTCTCTTATTATTGAGCCACTATTTGATAATGAGCTCAAAATTAATAGGACTAGTCCATTCTTTTATGGATTTAATTTATAATTAAATTAATTGGATATTTTCAATGATCCAAATTAATTAAATTAATAAATTTTATCAAATAGCCAGATTCGTTGACCTCTTTATCAATTGGATCATGTCTCTTATTATTGAGCCACTATATGATAATGAGCTCAAAATTAATAGGGCTAGTCCATTCTTTTATGGATTTATTTTATAATTAAATTAATTGGATATTTTGAATGATCCAAATTAATTAAATTAATAAATTTTATCCCAAGAGATCCATGTCGCTATTTCCTTCTTGATAAGGCCCAACAACCATCACGGTAGCCCAATTAATTCATGTAGTAATGGCCCACTAATTTTAGATGTCCACAAATGCCCCTCGAGATTTGTTTGAACGTTCTTTAACGAGAAAAGTAATTCTCGAATATAAGTTGGGCCAAATCACATATGGACATAAGATATGCTTACCTTTTTATTTAACAAACCCATCTGGGAGCTCTTTAATGTTTATCATTTTGCAAAATTGATCCAAATGCTCAAGTCTAAAAAGAAATAGACTAATAGCACGTATGATTTATAAAGAAAAGTGTGTTTGCTAATCAATTCAATCCAAAGAATATATTTGGATGAAAATAGATCCGCAGTTTATGGTCGTCAAATTAGAGTCCCAGTGAAACTCTCACCAACGTCTTTGAAAACAAGTACATTCTTAGTCAAATACCTTCTGATATCTTTGAAAACTAGTATTCCACCCGTGCGTTGCACGGGGTGTAAAATACTTATACTCTAAACTCCAATTTTAAATAAAATTAAAGATTATATTATAATTTATCAAAGGAATGAGAGTAACCATTAATAAATATGTAATAAAAAATATTTGAAGTTTAATAAGCACACAAGTTACAAATTATTGAAAACTTCTTTGTAGGCAACATTTTTTGCGGTATTTTTCTGATTTCCCTCGTCGTCGCGTATCACAAACTTCAAGCCAGACGGGCTCGTCACCTAAACTGCAACATATAAATGTCCATGTGTAAAAACAGGACGTCATAGAAAGACACCCACATTTTCTAAAGATTGTTCTTGGCTCTTGTTCATCGTCATCGCATAGCTAACCATCAAGGGGAATTGCCTACGCGTAAATGTGAAAGGGAGCCTCACATCCGATGGGGTTAGACTTATCCTGGGAATAAGAAACTTCTCACCTGCATTAGTATCAGACATCATCTGTGACTCAATAATATGTGCACCAAGTTTTGTCACTAAAAGTCGGGTACAATTACACAAGCCGGCCGAGTGATCTATATTCCTCATGAGCATCACCGGTACACCAACTTTTAGCTTCAACTCGTGACTTGGAACACCTAGAGATGCATCCATAGCCCTCTTCCATAGTTAAATGGCTGAATTTTTACTAGGCTCATGTTGTGTTTCAAGCCTCCTGAAAAGCCCTTAGAAATAAGAATAAACAAAAGGGGTGAGAATGGATCACCCTGCTTCACTGCCCTTCCTGGTTAAAAGAAACCAAAAGGCTTTCCATGGATAAGGATGGATATATAGGTTGTCTTGAGATTGTTCAGAATGAGTTTTTGAACCTGCTCCTTGAAGCCAAAATCATCCAAAATAGCTAGCAAAAACTTCCGGAACTCTATCAAATGCCTTCTGCACAAATCTCGAGGGGCATTTGTGGACATCTAAAATTAGTGGGCCATTACTACATGAATTAATTGGGCTACCGTGATGGTTGTTGGGCCTTATCAAGAAGGAAATAGCGACATGGATCTCTTGGGACAAAATCATCCATAGCTTATATAGGTTGTCTTGAGATTGTTCAGAATGAGTTTTTGAACCTGCTCCTTGAAGCCAAATATAAAGAAAACCTTAAAGAAAGCTTAAAGAAGTTCTGTTGCATCTGCTACCTAGAGATGCATCCATAGCCCTCTTCCATAGTTAAATGGCTGAATTTTTACTAGGCTCATGTTGTGTTTCAAGCCTCCTGAAAAGCCCTTAGAAATAAGAATAAACAAAAGGGGTGAGAATGGATCACCCTGCTTCACTGCCCTTCCTGGTTAAAAGAAACCAAAAGGCTTTCCATGGATAAGGATGGATATATAGGTTGTCTTGAGATTGTTCAGAATGAGTTTTTGAACCTGCTCCTTGAAGCCAAAATCATCCAAAATAGCTAGCAAAAACTTCCGGAACTCTATCAAATGCCTTCTGCATATCAAGCCTGATAGCTACATTGGAGGTTCTCACTGATCTATCCAACACGTGCAACATTTCATATGCAATTAGAATATGGTCATTGACTTCATGGCCCTTAAAAAACCAGCTTGTTCCTCGGATATCACCTTAGGAAGCAATGCAGCCATTCTTAAAGCTAAAACTCAGGTATTAACCTTGCTAATAAAAGATTGTAGGCAAATAGGCCTGAAGTCATTAAAGGAGACCACTCTGGATTGAAGCAAACATATGGCAAAGAAAGTCAGCAGATTTGAAATGAAAAGAGAGGAAAGAAAGCACTCATCCCTTATACTAAAAGCACCATATGCACAGATTTGAACATGGCAGACTTAACATCCCTAATAAGCATGCATTTACAGATTTGGGATCCCCTTATTTGTATGGGACACGATAAGTGAGCTCTAACTTCGCAGATTAGCTAATTAAAAAATTCCTCAAACAGAATTTTCATACATGCACATGTTTATAGCAGAAAGTCGAGTGTTTTTCAGCAAAAACTTATAGCTTATGAAATAGGGAAAAGGAACAAACATACCAAGACTGGCAAATGACACATAACATACCTAAAAAAAACAAATATACTTCTAACCGTATAACAAAAGTAAAAAGAAATCTCAATCCATTTTCTATTTCATCTCGGTTAATACTTACATAATTGAGAGGTTGTGTTCTCAATTATACATGATTCCTTGTATTTTTTTTGTAACATTCTTCTAAACCTATTATTAAATAACCTCTATTAGCAAACGGGAGATGCCAGAAACATGGATACCTGTATATCATTAGATTAACAACAATAAATAAGAAAAGTTAGAATGATTAATAAATTATACCTAATGAAAATGCCAATACCAAAGTGCTAAGATGCAATAGGTGCAGAGACAAGAAAAAGAATCATGAGTGGAGTGGCTTAAAGTAGCCTGCAACCATTAGAAATCTTATAGTTTAATTCTCCGATGAAGGAAACAACCAAAAATAAGACACATAATATAAAATTACAAACCTTAGTTAAGTTCTGAGTTGAATCTTGAGAAGGTCAGAAAAATCAGAATAACCAAAGTAAGGAGCTTAGAATCACATGAGTAGAATTTGTGTAGGGTGAAGTGCTGAAGTGTGTTGCTAGAGTGGAACTATCCAGCAAGAGGCAGAAGTAATTGATGCTATCTATGCTAAGCCTTTAACGAATTGAGATTAGAGAATGAAAGTGTGAATATATAATGATAAAACTCTGAGCACCAAGAAATCGTTTAGTAGTTCCAAGCTTATGCAAGTTCACTTAAATTGTTTCAAATGATAACTTTATTATCAAACAATTCACACTCTTGAGCATGTATTGTATGGAAACTCAGATTAAATTGTGAGTAGATACGAAATATCAAGAATTTAAAGAAAAATAAATAAAAAGAGTGAGATTTGGGAGATAATACTAACTAATAATGAGAAGGCCAACCGAGCTAGAAGTTGAAATCGCTGATTGCCTGAACTCAACAAATCCAAAAAAGTGTGCGGCACAACAGAGAGAAGAGCATGTTGCTTAGTATTAAAGCGTAATGTTCCAGATCCAATAGAGAGACGCTCAAATGAGTCGGCTGTGTTAGGCATAGAACATATCCGAAGAAAGAAGAAATACCAGGCTAGAACATAACTTCAGAGTCCGGATTGAATAAGAAGGGGAAAAGATGGAGAAGAAAAGAAGCGTAAGAAACGTAAGAAGAAAGAGACCAGGCTCCAAGCATCGTAGCGATGATTAAGTGAAATTAAGCATAGTTACGGGAATGCCCCTGTGCGTGAGCGGGAACTTCACTTAACTCGGTTAATATATATATAGATATAGATAGGAGGCAATAGCAATTTGCTCCTCCAACAATCTCAAATTCAGAGCAAAGAACAGCAGGAGCTAAACCTCTTTTATATTAATTCCTTCTCACTTTCTTCTTTTGGCATTTTGCAGGGAAGATTTCTGGAGACAAAATCAGCCACATATGGAATCAATTTACAGAAACGACTACCAACAGAACTCCCAATTCTTGTGAGAAGACTAGGAGACCCTCATTTGACATCCCCTGTGTTTATGTCTCGCCCATCATTCCATGATTTGAAGGCACCCGGAGTTGTGAAGGAAGCAGAGTTGCAAATTTTTTCTTCCTGGCCTTGTGAGTAAAGGTGAAGGCGTTGATTGTTGTTGAAAGGTTCGCAGGGTTCCTCTGTTGCTGTCAGATGAAGGCGCTTCTTTATCGAGATGGTGACTTCACTTGGGAGAAGAAGAATAGGTCCGTTCCAAGCCTGGGAAAGTAACACTGTTGCTGCCACTATCAAACATAGGTCGAAGTGATGCCGGAGAAGAAGGCTTAGCCGAGCTTTTGATAATGATTTCCGCTGCCCAGATTTTTTTTCTTTTTTTTTTGCAGCGGACAGGAGATGGTGTCTACCGTGGCGTTTTGACAAGAAGAATCCAATCGGTGGACTGTTGATCGGAAGCTGAGTTCGCCAGTCGGAGGGGAAATCCCGGCTGAACTCAATGCTGATTATCTGGCGAGGAAGATGCTGAGCTATTGCTATCTCATGATTATTTTTTTTACGTGCGAAGAAGCTGCCTACAGAATAGATCGATCGAGGAAGATGATGAGGACGAAGTTTGACTGATTGCTGGTTGTCGCTTAACCCTTTGTTGGAATGACGCAAATTTGAAGAATTAAGCCGATTTCCGATCATCGGTGCTGCTTAGCCCTTTGTTGGGATGGCACCGATTTAAAGAATTAGGCCGATTGCCGATCGTCGGTGCTGCTTAGCTCAATCAACTTCCGATGAGGAGGACATCAAAGAATTCCCAAGCCTTTGCCATTCATCTGACTTTTTTCTTTCGTAAGCCTTCTTCTAATATTTTCTTTGACAAAAGTGACTTAATTGGGATTTATTTTCTTATAACTGAACTCAAAAATGAAACTTTTGAGGTGCCTACGTACTCCTGTGAAGGAGATCAAGTCAAACGTAGTTCATAATACCATTTGAATAGGTAATTTAAAGGGGTGGGGTGCCGTGCACAGTTTTAACTCATGCGGGCCATGAGCTTGCCGTACACATTTTATACTTTCATGGGCCAAGAGTATCTATGATTATGCTCACCCATAGACGAAGTGAAATGTTTTAGCAGTTTAGCCACTTATAACATCATTGGTGGTTTAAGGCTTTCAACATTTTATTTGACATATCTATACCCCGACTTCAAGGGTACTGAATCTTCATATTGGTCTTCATATCGACCACGAGTGTGCACAATGGTCACTGGCTTGACTTTGAGTGCACTTCCATAGGTTAGTTTAACACTGGTTTCTCGTTTCATACGAGATGGGATAAAACTTCTATACTCATTAAAACTTTGCTTTTCGAGAGGAACTTCAGCAGATGTATTGCGTTCATGTTTCAATCCCAATCTTTCATGTACAGACATTCTTTTGAAGTTTTGTCCCATGCATGGGTCTTCAGCGTACTTCATCATCATTGGGCTCGTTCCAAGCCATTCTTATAAAGTCTTCTTCATAACTTTCTTTGGCTTCAGACCCAATCTATCAAAGACGGTGGGCCTTGATCTTGCCCTCTCAATCCGATCAAAGACAGAGCACTTTAGTTTGGAAGTCACTTCATCTTCTTCATCGGCACTAATATGATGTATTGCAGCTCTATTTATGAAGATCTTTATAGGTTTAGGTTGAACATAACCCAATCCAACGTGCCCTTGTAACCTCAGAAACCATTAAGCTTCCGGAACCAAGTTGGCTAGGAGCAACCAACGACAACACCGGTTTGACATTTTCTTTTGTAAGGAGTCTTGGGCATAGTTTCTGTTCAATATCATACCCAAAAGCAGTCCGGAGGGTCGAATTCATATTAACCCCTTATAAAGGAGATTTTGTCCGGCTATCGGCATTTGGGGCGGTTCTTTGTGGGATTTTTTGATGAAATATTTTGAGTATCTTCTTCATTAAGAATAAAACTGGGAAGACAGTCTAATGACTTTCTGAAATATACTGCGCTGTTTAACTGCGCAATTATATTTAAAAATTCATTTGAAAAGAGAAAACTAATACAAATAAGTATCAACTTATTTCTTTCCTTGGTATTTTCTTAGGTGTTCTAGATACATACAAAGGTAATTACGTTTTGTGAATGTATCTAAACAATTGACCACCACATTATCGAATATTATACAAAGATAGTTTTTTTATGACATACCCAATGTGAGCCAATGCCCCAACGGTTGTAGTCCGCGTTGGATACGACACCATATTCTCTGATGTAGTCCAACACATTTACCAAGTTTGAGCATGATCCAGTCTTCAAAGTCACCCACCACACAAGGAATTCCACAAATAATTGAGAAGGGCATGGGCTTCCTGTCTGCTGGGCGCGGATCATTAACATACTTTCCATTGCCTCAATGGCTGCTACGCAGCAACAAATTTCTATAGAACACATTAAAACTCGATTCTTGAACAAAAAGAACAAAGAACCTATAAAACCTATCAAAATCTTATTCTTCTTGAAACAAAGAAAACCAATAGAACACTTCAAACCTCATTCATTCTTGAACAAAAAAACAGAGAACCTATAAAAATAGTTCAAAATCACATTCTTCTTGAAACAAAAACGAGAATAGATTAAAACATCATTCATTCTTGAAGCAAAAAGTAAAATAAAAAAGGTAACCTCTATCTTTTTTATCCCTGACAGCAAGAAGGATTTGTGCTACATTTGCCCTTCTTCTCCAAGTAAATGTGGGGTGTGTCCCCATTTGTTGTAGTCTGAGTAGCGAGAGTGCAGTTTGTCTGAAATATGATTCTTGAAGATGCCAGCTTTTTTCAGAAGTTACCTAAACCGAATATGAAGCTTGTAAGCTTGAAAGGAGCGAGAATGGAGTTTGTCTGAAATATGATTTTTGAAAACATTGACTTTTTCAGAAGTCATCTAAACGGAATATGAAACTTGTAAACTTGAAATGAGTGAGAGTGGTGTTTGTCTGATAAGTTGTAAAATGTAAACAATTAGATAGAAGGATGAGACTGTGACTACAAATTCTATACTGAGTAATACATTTCAATGTTCCATCTTTCTTGTCTGATTAGTTCCTAAAATTTATTTAATTAAAGATAAATATATTTTAGTTGAAATAATATGGGACATAATAGGTTACCACAACTAATAATATGATCATATGAGACGTTATACATGTTATAACGTATAACGTCCCATATAATAGGTAACAAGTATAACGTCTCATATGGCCATATTATTAGTTGTGATAACCTATACCGTCCCATATTATATCAACTAAAGTATATTTATCTTTAATTAAATAAATTTTAGGAACTAATCACACAAGAAAGATGGGACATTGAAATGTATTACTCAGTATAGAATTTGTAGTCATAGACTCATCCTTCTATCTAATAGTTTCATTTTACAACCTATCTCTACGGTCTACCCAAAATTAAATCACAGACAAAATTTAATTTTTGGACATTTCAGACAGTCTCCACTCTCGCTCTGTTCATGTTTAGAAGCTTCATATTCCGTTTAGGCGACTTCTGAAAAAGCCGGCGTCTTCAAGAAATATATTTCAAACAAACTCCATTCTTGCTCCTTTCAAGTTTACAAGCTTCATATTCGGTTTAGACGGCTTCTGAAAAAATCGACATCTTCAAGAATCATATTTCAGACAAACTCCATTCTCGCTCCTCAGACTACAAATGGGGACACACCCCACATTTACTTGGAGAAGAAGGGCATATGTAGCACAAATCCTCCCAGCTTTCAGGGATAAAAAAATAGAGGTGCTCTTTTTTATCTTTACTTTTTGTTTGTTGAATGAGGTTTTAATCTGTTCTCATTTTTGTTTCAAGAAGAATGTGATTTTGAACTGTTTTATGGGTTCTCTGTTTTTTGTTCAAGAATGAATGGGGTTTGAACTGTTCTATTGGTTTTCTTTGTTTCAAGAAGAATGAGATTTTGATATGTTTTATAGGTTCTTTGTTTTTTTGTTCAAGAATCGCGTTTTAATGTGTTCTATAGGGATGACTTGCTACTGCATAGCAGCCATTGAGGCAATGGAAAGTATGTTAATGATTCGCGCCCAGCAGACAGAAATCCCATGCCCTCCTCAATTATCCGTGGAATTCCTTGTGCGGTGGGTGACTTTGAAGACTGGATCATGCTCAAACTTGGTAAATGTGTTGGATTACATCAGAATATGGTGTCGTATTAACCGCGGACTACAACCGTTGGTGCATTGACGCACACTGGGTACGTCATTAAAAAACTATCTTTGTAATGTTGGGTAATGTGGTGATCAATTTTTTGGATACATTCACAAAATGTAATTACCTTTGTATGTATTTATAACACCTAAGAAAATACCAAGGAAAGAAATTAGGAAAACAAACACCATAGCAATTTGGAAGGGAAAAACATAGGGAGAAATACGCAATGAGTTCAAATTTAACTAATTTGTTCTATAGGAATTATAGATTAGTCAATATTTATTTGTATCAAGTTTTCTCTTTTTTGGGAAAGGATACACATGAATGAATTTGTGAGGATTTTGTCAAAACTATATTCTCACATGTGTGATACCCAAAAATTAAATAATATGATTTGTTAACATTATTAGTAAATGTAGAATATTTATGTTTCGCATATTGCACATGTGAGAATCTAGTTTTTACAAAACCCTCACTAAAAAGATGATGGAAGATAATACTCCCCATAGTCCCCAAGATGATAGGAGAGAAATTTACCATCAGCAGCAGAGTGAGAGTATGCTAAGACTTGTAAGACCGCCTCAAGTTTGTCCCAAGATTCTTGAAGACGGCCTGAAGTTTTCCCGAAGTTTATCTCTGAATCGCCTAAACCATATAGTACGAAGTCTTGTTTTAATTTTGTCCTTTGAAGTGCGCCCATATTTCAACCTAAACATACATATTTGTCCTTGAAGCCTTGATTTAGTTTTTTGGTTTCGTTTTCCCAGCGTTCTTTTGGAATATACGGTAGACCGTAGATAAGTTATAAAATGAGATCAATAGATGAAACTATTAGTTTATGACTGCAAATTCTATAAGGAGTATATAGGTTACCACAATTGAATTGATTTCAATGTCCGACCTTTCTTGTCTGATTAATTCCTAAAATTTATTTAATTAAAAATAAATATATATTAGTTAAAGTAATATAGGACGTTATAGGTTACCACAACTAATAATATGGCCATATGGGACGTTATACATGTTACAATCTTCACACGAATTGATTTTTTTGGTTGTAATGGCTTTTTTATATATAAAATCTTCGTTAGCATAACTAGAATGTGATATGATGATCCTATTCCACTATAGTTGCATTATACAGAGCTGAATATATAGAATTTTTGTAAGTCTTCGCACATGATGTGCTTTTTCACGGAAAAAGTTAATTAACATATACTCCGTACGTTATCCTTTATTGTGTGCCAACAGCTTCGATAAAACAAAATGATGTTCCTAATCAATGTTCTGTTAAGTGATGATACACAAGAAACATAATACAATATATTCATATTGATTTGAGACAAATTTGAGTTGCTCTTTAATGAAGAGGGGTTTTCCCATAATAAGCGTATGTTTGGTTGACATAAATCTTGGCCTGTCAATTGATCTGGTCTAGACCCGAACCCAGTTGTTTTTAACGGGTATACGTCAACATTTTATTCTGTTTACCCAGACCCGTTAGTATTTTTAATAAACGGATCGGGTATGGTACATATGATTCCGACCCGTTAAAAACCCGGACCCATTTAAAATTTCATATCAGTATACACACACTAATGGATAAAGTGATTAGTTATGATACTTCAAAAAAATACAAAGTGACACACATATTTTTAATCGAAGCATTACAACTAATAACTTTATATGTGGGAAAAATTGACAAGAATAATCCTACCTTTCATTGGTCTTCTCATAATAATCCTACCTTTACATAATCCCAAAACAATCCCACCTTTGCACCTCATCTTCTTTCATTGGACCCTGACCAAGTTTTTTACCTTTATTTGAAAATATTATATAAATAATCTCACATTTATAAAGATATAATAGAAAAGTTAAAAGTGAGATTATTTATATGATTTTCAAAAAAAGAGTAAAAAACATGGTCAGAGTCCAATGAAAGAAAATGAGGTGCAAAGGTGGGATTATTCTGGGATTATCTAAAGGTGGGATTATTATGAGAAGACCAGTGAAAGGTGGGATTATTTTTGTCAATTTTTCCTTAAAAATACACACTACTACATACACTGATATTGATCGAGATAATGAGATACCCCAACAACTAATACCCATTTTCGCCACTAATGCGTACCAATAATTAATAAAGTGCTATGTTACCTACTTTTTTCCATTGAAGAAAAACAAAGTCAAAACACATTTCCTGAAAAAATCACTGACCTTACATGAGTTATGGTAGTAGTCAAGTGCTAGCTCAACAAGACGCCGGTCACACCTATCCATGATTTCTAGATCCTTGGCTGACCACTGAGTTAATGGCAGACCATAACCTCTGGAGTACTCTTGACAGGTTTCCACCTAGGCCTACACAGCCCCCCCCCCCAAGTCTTCTTAGCCAATTACACTCATGTCACCAGGCTTATATAGCTATGTATTCATTTATGCCCACATCAAACCAAACAAATAACCAAGCAAATGAACATGTAGCCATAATCAGTGGTTACCTAGCAGGTTCCTTCGCCCGAACAGATCTGCTGCAGCTTTTGGTTTTGGAAGTCCTGATTGCATAAGAGAGCAGATGTTAGTCACCTTTACAAATTCACACAAATAAATAAATAAAATTTTACCTGATCTATGCCTGGTAGATTGTTCTTGATCTTAAGTTGTAGGCCACTTGAAGTCATCACCATTTCTTGTTTGCTTACTAAAAACGTTCTTTTATGCGCTTTCCTCTCTGCTTGGATTAGGCAGGAGCCCACAATCACTTAGTGATATCATAGATGCTTTATGATTACATAGGAGATGTAATCAAGAGAAAACTTAATGATTACAAAATTTAATGAAAACTTAATGATTATAAAATGTACAAGATATCATAGATGCTTTAGATTGTTCTGATTTCACATCTCCCACAAGATTGCATAGGAGTTGTGAAATAACATGTACAATCAAGAGAAAACTTAATGATTACAAAATTAAAATCATGCAAATAGTAAATCATTATAGTTTCCTCTAAAGTTATTAGTTTTTCATAAGGAAAACTACCAGAACCATGCACATAGTAACTAGTAAAGTAAATAGTTCTTTTCCTCTGGACTTTCCCAATCATCACCGTCCGTGACTGAGGGTGCTGCAGATACTAAAAGTCACAACTTTAAATAATGAGGTTAAAATTTTGGAAAGGGGCTGATATAACCTCTATCCCTCCTAATTTTAACGTCAAAGTTGCTGAAATATACATGTTCAAAGTAAAGGATAATCGTTTGACATCTAAAATCTGAGAGTGTGAGCCTGAAAGAAATGGGGATGACATCCCTAAGATTACCATCCAAATTAGTATTGTGAACCACATTATGATTGGTGAAATCAAAAGGGGTAAGAAAGATGTAGCAAGGCCAGAAGAAAGATCCAATTTGGGAGGGATACATGCATTTAGCCTCCTACAAAAAAGTATAGAAAATCAACTACAATTAGGACATTTAAAATGAAAAACATTAAATGCCATTGAATAAGTAATATGAATGAGCTACACAACTTCAAGAATGTAAAATTTAAATAGGACATTTACTTTTCAATGACACAACATACTTGATAAAGAATTCCATATTCGCAAATATTTGTTTTTTAGTATTCTTGGGTTAGTTAGGGTGTTATATATCTGCATATGAAATCTAGTGATGACTTTTTGCATAAATTTGGTTCCTTTAATCACTTATTGTAGACTGTCAATCTGGAGGACATTGAAAATTTTAGGAAAAGAAGTGTAAAGTTTGATTCTTTTATGGCGTGTTGCCTATAAGAAGTTGAGTCCATGCACTGGTATCAAGAGTCAATGCACTGGTATCAACCCTCCCTTAATGGAAACAACAGCTCCGTTTTTAATAGATCAGTCTAAGGCTATTTTTGGAATCTTAGTATCAGGGGATATGCTATTAATTAAATTAGGGGATGTACTTTTTTAGCAAACCTATTTCCTCATGTTTACTACTACCTCCGTCCCACTAACACTGTCACAACTATGTTTAACATAGTCCATGTAATCCTCAATTACTACTGGACAATAAGTTCTTACACCTGAGAAAAAGTGCTATGGTTATCAAAACATTTTCATCCTTTTCTTGACACAAAGGAGTACTTGTAAGTTGTAACTAATCCACCTTTTTCTTGGCTTAAAAGTCATGTTTTTTGGGATCGTTGAAACTCTGATCCATGAAAATAGCAAACGAACCAAGTATACAGCAGAGAGTTTGGACCGTTTAGAGCTATAACCACAACTTTTCATCACCTCGAGATTTTTTTAACCTATAACAGCTCTGCTTTGCTAATTGCATTTATCCATATCATTCTATACTAAAGTTTGAAAAGAAGATTTCATTCCCACCAACAAATCCAAGTGCAATTTTAAACTTAAGAAAATGGATTTTCTTAGAACTTTTTTCATTTTCGTAGCATTTCCCAGAATCCTCAAAAACCAAACCACAAAATTAACCTGGGGAGGTAAGGTCTAGGGTTTTTGCAGCTGATGTTGGAAGGACCCAATTTCATTTTCTACTAATGTCTTCCCAAGCTAAGAGTAGTGAACAAATCACCAAAACAACAAAAAGAATCTGAAAAAACTAACAGGGGATGGGGAAGAAGAGAAAGAAGATGCTTACCATTCAAAGGCCGTGAGGAAGAGGAAGCGCACTGCGCACAAGTTTTTCCAAAGTACGTACAGACGTACTCCCTCCGTCCCGAATTGAGGTGCAAATTTTGACCGGGAATTAAGGAAGTGTAGAGATAAAATTTAACTTTATGATTCTGCCCTTTCGTTTTATGAAGAGTAAGCAAAAGTGCCGAATGAAGTACTCGTACATACATACTTTTCAAACCACTGAAATGATTAAATCTGTAGAAAAACCAATTGGTTTTCCGTACTTCGCCCCTGCCCAATTTTTACACTTTAGTTTAACCATCAAAAAAATACTTCTAGCTGTCATCTTCTTTAAAATCTCGAAGTAAGGGACACGCTGCAACACGCCCAACAGACATCAAGGGTCTCCATACGTTTCCAGTCGGTCTCTGTAGGAGTGTAGGACAGCAACCTCTCCCGTCGCTTCAACGATTCAAAAAGTATCTGGTTCAACGACGGTGGGGGCGACGGATTTGCGAGGTTGTCCGACGGCGTCGCGGCGGAGAAGCTGATGGACCAAGCAAGGGAGGGCTGGTGCTGATTCTTCCCTGATGAGCCGGAGCTGATGAATCGAGCCGGAGCCCCCTTCTTTTGTCCATCTTCATCTTGAAAAGCAAAAAGAATCTGGCCATGGAAACTTAGAAAGAGCCCATTTACAGAGTGTTGTTTCGATTGAGAAAATGGGGAGAGAGATGGTGGGGTACAGTGAAAGTGATGGGAGAGATGGATGGGAATTAATAAGTGGATGGGTGTGGTGGCGGATTAGAAAGTACGGAGTAGGAGTAAGGGCAAACTTGTCACTTTAATGATATTTCTATACCAAATGGAAAATGGAAAATCATTTTGGGACGAATCAAAAAGGAAATTTTGCAAAACAAATTGAGACGAAGAGTATATGTTTTTATTAAAGTTTTTATATATAAAGTTGATTTAACACCGTAGCGGATAATTTCAATACATGTTCCAGGATTTGTTATTTATTAGTTATTTACAAAAATTAATTATTCTTTAGACATAAAAATGATTGGAATAAACTCCGTACTACTACGTATGTGATACGAACATAAATACTCCCTCCGTCTCATGGAGAAGTTCTCGGGTTGACTTTCACACATATTTAAGAAATAAAGTTACTGAGGGGTAAATTTTACTGTTTGGCACTGTTTCGACACTGTTTGGCACTGTTTCGATACTGTTTGGCACTGTTTTGCACTGTTTGACACTGTTTTGATGTAGGATAACTTTCCATTTAGGGAAATGGGAACTTTTTGTTGGGACTACTAAAAAAGGAAAGTGGGAACTTCTCCCTGGGACGGAGGGAGTATATTCTAATGTCATTAACTTTTCTGTCAAAAAAAAATATGTCATTAACTTTTATACTGAAAGTCTAATCCACTAAGATTAATTATATTTTTGAATTATTATATATAGTACGCTTATGAAAATGTAAATTCCTAGTTTTTTGAACATGAATAAGGTGCCCTAATGTATCATTCCTAGATGAATTGCAAGTATTGATTAGTTTATAGATTAAGATGAATTATTAAGAGGTCGTATTATTCCACAACTTAAATATCTCAATATGATCATCGTCACCTAAATTTCTCATTTCTTACTTTTGTCGTTGAAATACCATTCAAGGATATTTTATTTAAAATAAATTGTTCAATGTTTAACATTTGAACCAAATCATCCTATTTTTATAATATGTAATACTCCAACCTTCAATGTTCAATGTAGTAATGTACTGGTAAACGTGAACTCAATTTTAGAGAACTTCAACCTTAGATGACAATTAGGTCAACTCTTGTGAAGACATCATAACTCTATTTGCATTATTTTTGAAGAGTTTTAAGCATTTACAGATCAAATAAAACCAGAAAAAATTATCCAGCATTATATGTTTCCACAAAAGGATACAAAAGGGTTTTCCATCTTGGGATTCACCATTCCAGTCTTCCTTGAAGTTACAATAGACTCCTTCCTGAAAATAGAATCACAAAATAGTGAGATGAAATGGCTTTTACCTTATATTAGTAGTATTGTTTGAAAAACAAAGTCTCTTTGCTTCCTCAAACATTTGTCCTCAAACATGCAATCACAGATGGGTGTTTTGGTGACATGGTGACTAAGAACATCTTCACTCCCTCCATCCTCAGGTTAATTGTAAATGTAGTCTCCGTTGCATTGTCCTTTCCTCCGCCAAATTTGATTTATAAATAGTATACTTATTTTGTTCATGTATGTCATGATTAATACGGAGTAATACTAATAAGAGTGAGTAAAGTCATTTCTAAAAACTGATTAAAGAATAATACCTCATCTTAGTCATCTAATTCAAAGGTCACTTCCAGCCTTTTCTCCCATATAAATATAGCAGGCATCTCATTATATTTCGTATAATACTCCCGCACTGTAAGAGCCCATGCGGAACTTGTATAGTTGTATGGCTGTTGTTGTGTTCTACTATGTGGTCTTGTTCTTCAAAATAATCCATTTATAATGGATTTGCATTGGGGTTATTCATTCCCAGAGTGTTATATCCATTGGACAATATTCATTGGACAATATCTTGCACCAATGGATGTATATCCATTAGATAATACGTACACATCCATTAAATGCTACTGGACAACCTAACCTAAGCTTCTATAACTATTGCGTGTAGTATACGTAGTACATTTTTCAGAAACAAATCTTCAAAAGTACGTGATTTGCATTTATTGGCTTCGCATGAACATGAAATGAATTGTACTCTTACACCAGTGAAGGTGCGGACAATTCGTGCACCCAACCCACATATGATCAGAAAGTTTGGGCGGAAAAGTTGGCTAAAATTCCACTTTTGTATATACCAGATTCTCACTCGTGCGATGCACGGAACATATATTAAGTTATATTCAAATCATATTATCTATAAATGTGTAATTTTGACTAAAAGTTACTAACTCTATCCCGTTGAAAGGTTCTCATAGCAAAACGGTACGGTTATTTAGGTAATAATTAAATAAAGTACTTCGAGTATATTTTGAGAAATAATTTTAATAGGTATATATTATAATGTATTAGTATTGATAACTGTGATGTTATAAATGTATTATTTTTAATATTTAATAACTAATTTGTCAATTAATATTGTTAATTGTTTTCTAAAATGAAAATAAGAACCTTCTAATTGGACGTCCAAAAAATGAAAGTGGAAACCTTCTAATGGGACGTCCAAAAAAGGAAAGTGTGAACCTTCTAACGGGACGGAGGGAGTATTAATTAATGTGTAAATTAGTGTAGAGAATATAAAAGTAATAAACACACAAATTTTAATTGAAGAAGAAATTATCACAGCTCGTAATTGGTACGAAGTGTGGTGTGAAATAAGAAGGAAGAATAAATATTACAAATTCACAATAATATTTTTGCATTCTACACATTTTACAATTTACAGTTCCTGAAAAATAACGTTATAGTATAGTCAATTTGTTGGCCATGTTCACGGAAGATCAATATTTTCAAACTCTCACAATTTTGTATGTACAATACTGGAATAATAAGTAAAACATGCTTAAGCACCGACTTTTTTAATAAAAATCCAACATGCGACAAAAGATTGACACTGAGAAAATTTTTATTTTGATTGAAATTTGCTGGTCTGGTTTGTTTAAATTAAATCTGGTCTAGTCCGCTAAATATCAGACCTCTATGTATTTTATAACTATGAAAGTTTGGTCTGGTCTGAACTGGTCTGATCTAGCGTGGTCTGTTTAAGCTTAGTCTTGTCTGATTTGAGATTGAAAACAGTCTAAGTAAAAATATCTTGACTCTTATTTATAGTCATCGTATAAGAGGTCATGGCATGAAACTGTCTTTTGTTTTGAAATTTATAAACGGTATTCTTGAATGGAATTCAAATAAAATTGAAGTGTCAACTTTTGAAAATAAAATTAACTCAACCATACCCTATATAACATTAAATGCGTACCTTTCTAAAACGATCATTGATGGAGTATATGGACTCCGATCCCCCGATATGCCGACTACTGGGCCTGGACAGCGGCCCACACACGTTTAGCGGATTCATATTATTGTACATTATTATTCAAATGTTCTAGATTAGCTTTTTATACTATCAGTCCATTTATGTAACCGGGTCTGTCAGGCCCGTATTAGAGGCCCCGACCCGGATTTTCCCTATATGTACTCCTTAATTATAGGAGGCTTGTAAACTCACAACTCAAGAACTCATAGTTCACACTCTATACACATTTTCTTCTTCTTTTCCATTACTCTTTTTTATTCTTGTTCAATCTCTCTTAGTTATAGGATATGGGTGTCAATTATCCAACAATGGTGCTCTCGTTGAGAGGTTTGAACACAATCAAGTGAGAAAACCTCCCCAAATTATCCAAAAATTCATTCCAATCTCAGGGAAAAAAATTCATCCAAAACAGTGGTAATCTTAAAGGAATCGGTCAAAATCCTTCTGAAAATTCAGGAAGAAACGAAGAAAAAATGGTTTGCAATTTCGAAATCTCAGAAAAAGATCTCCAAGATGAAAGTTTTTTGAATTTTTGGATCTGTAATCTTCAAGATCTGGAATTTTTCCGGCCAGATTTGATTTTGGTGGTCAACTGGCGAAGCCCAGTCAACTAGGCGGACCAAGTCCGGCACTACCAGCACCAGCCGAGAGCGAGGCCATCACCATCCCTCCGTTATACGCATTGGAGCCAACCTGCTACATTTCCAGTCATCGGCGTACAACGACGGCCACTACGCAACGATGGCACCAGCAGCTCGACCTGGCCTCCACAGTCCGTTCCAGCTTGCACTGCTATGCCTGAGAGCCGGCCTAGCTCGTCCCAGTGACCAAACAAAGGACTCTTCATTCGTACAGGGCCGTGTCACACAGCTGCAACCTACGCCAGGGGAATCTGCCGGTGAACACGACCTGAGTATGCAAATGGAGGCAGCAGTCCCGATGAACTTTCTTTCACTCTCCGGCGACGCCCAGGGATGAACACCTATGGTGTTACTACGCCCAGCGGTCCGAGCAGGCGACGTTCGACCGCGAGGACTGGCAGCACTTGACGACGGAAGGGGTCAACAGTCAATCTTCTCCCTCACTCGTCCGACAACGACTGTGGCAAGGATGCATCTTCCTTCTGACCCGCGGTCGACTCTCTTTCACTCGCCTCCATTTCCGGCGGCAGTAAGGACCGAGCGCATCTCCCCTGCACAACGCCTAGCTAATCGCATATCATCTCAGCGGAAGACATTTTCTCCTCCACCCCCTAATGCCAGCTGCGGGAGATGAAGGGCCAGACTTCTCTAAGGCCTGCCAGCAAGACTTCTGCCATTAGTGTGGGTCCATGGGAACAAGACTGCAGAACAAGACCGCAGAGCTGCCTGCCATCTCCTCATGTGGGATATCCAGCTAATCCAGCTAGCTTGACAGGACTATGGGGCATCTTCTCTGATTTATCTCTCAATTTAATTGGGCGAACAAAACTTATGGGCAAAAGCTGGGCAAAATTGGTCAATGAGTCAAGATATAATTTTTTATACGGGCCAACTGACTCTCATCAAGAATAACGGGCTGAACCATCTTTTGCTACAATCAAATTCAATAATGGGCCAATCTCAGCAACATGTCAAATTTCAGCCCAATTTCTTTATCAGCCCACACAGTCCAATATTTTAGCCCATCAAAAGATAAGTACTCTTTAATTTTCATATTATTTATATTTATTTTAATCATTTTTTTTCGGGTGAATGTCACACTATCACGCACTTATGATCAAATGCCCAGTAGAGTGTGGCTTGAGACCCATCACTAGGATTTAAAGCCCTGACTCCTCAGGCACAAAGCCCTGACCAAGTCAGGCACGAAGACCGGTCTTAGTCATTCCTCGAGTGGCGACCGTTGCTTACGAATGGCTCACACATCCATTCTACTAAGTATTTAATCATTACATTAACAATTCACATCTCCACTTGTTTCGAATAACGAACTCCCGATAGGAAACATAAATCCCAAGAAAAAGATTTTATATGTATGATAAATGTGTAGGTACATAGATGACTTTACTCATTTTCACCTTGTCTCCACTCGCCTCAAAGAGTGGGGACTGGGGGACTGAGGGGTCAGAGTTTCTAGAAGAGCAGAAAATATCACACATGAGCAGGAACGAGAGCTGAGTCGGTTGAAGATGAGTTGAGCTAGATTGATTATGCCGGAGGAGACTTACCTTCCTTGTTTTATGTTGGGGGCGCTAGGTGTACTCTTTTTCCCTTTATTAGGATTTTTTCCCACTGGGTTTTTTCCTAGTAAAGGTTTTTAACGAGGCATCTCCCCATCACTGACAAGGGTGGTGGTCCCTCGGCCGAAGAGGAAGAAACCAAAGACAGAAGAACGCTGCAGCTACAGGTTGGACTACTCCCTTTCGCCTCGAGTACTCTCGACTCAGGGAGTGGGGGACTCCTGATGGAGTATATGGACTCCGATCCCCCGGTATGCCGACTACTGGGCCTGGACAGCGGCCCACACACGTTTAGCGGATTCATATTATTGTACATTATTATTCAAATGTTCTAGATTAGCTTTTTATACTATCAGTCCATTTATGTAATCGGGTCTGTCAGGCCCGTATTAGAGGCCCCGACCCGGATTTTCCCTATATATACTCCTTATAGGAGGCTTGTAAACTCACAACTCAAGAACTCATAGTTCACACTCTATACACATTTTCTTCTTCTTTTCCATTACTCTTTTTTATTCTTGTTCAATCTCTCTTAGTTATAGGATATGGGTATCAATTATGATGAGGAAGTACATGAGATAGAAGATAAAAGATTTTAGGAGGGGGAGGAATGAGGGGTGCGATCGAGGGTTTTACATGGAAACAAGAGGAATCGTCGTATTGCCCGAACTGCATTCGATCGAGGCCTTGGCAAGATCAGGACAGATTCGGGCGTCCACAATTCACACATGGATCCCGTCACCGATGGTGTGCAGCGGAAAAACATCACAGAGGCCGGACGTCGAGGGACTGGAATCGTCGTCATCCGACTCCGAGGCAGAGATACTTGGACTTCTTCTCCGGCTACCAGCACAGCAGCATCAGAAAGCACGGCTACATCAGGGATACTATTGAACGGCCTCAGTGCAGATTTCAATCTCTTGCCCAGAATCGTGCTTCTCTCCATTTTCGTACTCCAAATCAGCCGGCCTGGAGATTTAATCAAAGACAGAGGACATGGGGTTCTTGGGAGGTGGAGTATGTACATCCCATTTCTCAAACTCAAACTCGAGATTCTCCCTCACAAATTGGGTATGAGGTTACAATTGAAAGCAAAAATTTTCAATTTACTATTAATGATTGTAACCTTTTGCGAATATCTGAAAGGAAGAAGGGAATCATAGCTGCCATTGACCTTGATTTAGCTAAAGCTATTTGGTTAAAGAATTCCATTCTCAAAATTTTACCGGGGAAATTTGGAACTAGGTGTGAATTGAGTAAATCTATTATCATGCTCTACGATGCAAATCTGTTTGGAGGTTTTATTC